TAGACACCGCCATGCCGCCTCGTAATATTATGAGACTTCTTTAATGCGGCACTGCCATCCGCTCTCCTTCTCCAACAGCGGCAAGCTCGCGCCCAAACACCATCCCAACTCGTTCCCCTTGATTTTCTTAGCAATCTTGACCTCTCTATCAATTGGCATCTCATAGCCCGTATGCAGTAGCGCAGACATGAAATTCAAATCCAGACACCACTCGGGTCTCTCTCGGAGATCGTCCAGAGCGCCCTCAATCCCAGCAAACGCATCCCATGATTGTTCTCCACCACAGACTCTGGCGGTGAGATCCTGGAGTTCGCGTAAAGTGAAGGATTCGGGCATACCCAAGTCGTGCGTGCGGTCATAGAAGTACGAGAAGATGTAAACATCCTCCCTAGAGAAGGTCTTTTCGAGCGATGGTTGGTGCACACCATTGAAGGAGCAGGGGGTAAGCGTGCATTCTTTGTCCTTGTACAGGATGGCTTCGGCTAGGGCGCGGCATTGGGCTGGGATGGCGTCGGCGGGACCTTCCATTATCACCGAGTGTTCGCCTGACAGTTCGTGGTCGGCGGGCATTTCGACGACGACCTTTTTCTGTGCGCCGGGAGTGATGCAACTATTCGGGATGGGTTTGCTGAGCCAGGCCTTCGAATCCGGATTCTGCTTATGCATGCGGTCAAGGACTAGTTGATGCAAGGCTTTCCGCGCCGACATGAGGCCGTAGCCTAGATGTGAATGCTGATAAAGCTCGAATTCCCGCCCACCGAACTTGAGGTTGTACTTGTGATCTCCCTCTTCCATTTTCTGGGGCATGCCTCCGTGCGGACTGTTCTTAAAAGTCGGCTGGAAGACAATCTGAGTTGAACCGCCTCCGAGGTCGAAGACGGCCGCCGTTGGAGTCTCGTCGGGCCCTCCAATCTTACCCAACAGATAGTTTGTAGTAATCCATGCAAAGACACCCTCATCCTCGCCTTTCATAATCTCCACGCCCCCTTTTTCTCGAGACACTACGGGAAAAGGGTAATGAGTTTCTAGGCGATTCCGAACAGCCTCGAGGATCTTGACGCTCATCTCTTCTCCCAACAGCCGCAGACCCGCGGTTGCCTTGACCGCAATAGGCGTGCATGACTTGTACTCGTTTGGCACTGAAGTCATTGCGACTTCCATGAGGGGGTCAAGACTCCTGGCAGCACCTTCGGCATCTGTCTTGTATGAACTCAGCCCGGAACCCTCTGGCCTCTTCTCCGTCATCTTGAACTCTTCATTCTCCAGTTCCGGAGTTGGACCGCAGTTGTTGAATTTATAGACATGAATCCTGCTCCCAGTGCTACCCGCATCGATCATAATGGCATACTGAACAAGGGGTCTCGAAGGGTCATATGGTTTCGTGCATCTTGAAGTGGGAGAATTGGAAAGGGTGTAGAAGTTGGGGACAGAGCTATATGTGCTCCCATTGCCTCCGGAGAGGAACCAGTATAATAGAACGATCAGAGCCAGGACCCCTCCGGTTTTGAAGAAACGAGCCTGACGACTTTGAGTCATCCAGGCGTTCTGAACCGACTCCAGGATGGATAGTTGGCTTGCGCCCGAGACACTTGTTTGTCGACCGGTCTTTGCGAAGGGGTCCCAGGGGGTATGGTTCGTGGCTGCGCGAGGAAGTCCGCTACTAACAGAACGACGGCGAGGAGAAGAACTGAAAGGAACGTATGACCAGATGCCGGCTCGGTCTGAGGACTTGGAAAAAGCGGACATGGAAATCGGCAAAGCGAGTGGGAGAAGAGGGAAAAGAAGAATGTGCAATCTAGTATTTTCGAATTTCTATCGTGGAGGATGCGGCGAGGCCAAATGGCTTTGGACAGGGGGCCATCAATGCGGAGAATTTTGCGAGGCTTGTGTTGGTGAGGTCTCTCTTCGGGGTTGGACAAGTTTGGGTCGCAAGGAACAAGAATTGAGCTGCTTTTTTTTGCAACACTCTTCTTGACCCTCGATAGGATATCTCGATTGACTCTTGAATGCGGCGGCCTGTATTGTTTGCTCGACCGCTCCTGCGGGCCCTGGTACCTGCTCAACGCCTTCCGCAAGCATTGCCGAGATGCTTCTCTGCAACTCCTGGTTCCGCGATTGACCAACGACGCGTCGCTGGGAAAATTGAGATCAAAACCATCGATGACAAAATCGCCGCATTCACTCTCAATGAAAAGATCCGGTCCCCCAAAGTCCAAGTCAAAAGGCCCGATGGAAAGCTCTCTGAGCCACAACCCCTCTACAAACTGCTCGATTCTATCGACCGGACCAACCAATACGTGCTACAAATGAACAAGCCTGAACAAGGCGAGATGGCTATTGTGCAGATCGTCACCCGTGCAGATCTGATCCAAAGAATAAACCGCCAAGAGGACTTGTTGAAGAATCAGAAACGACTTGAAAAGGAGAAAAGACCGAAACAGTTGGAGCTCAATTGGGCCATTAGCGCCAACGACCTCCAGCTCAAGATGAAGCAGATGCAAGAATTTGTAAAAAAGGGAAAGAAGGTCGAACTATTGCTGGCAAATAAAAGACACCAGAGAAAGGCCTCCCAGGCGGAAGCGGAGGCGTTGTTGATGACCGTTCGAGAGAAGATCCAGGAAGTCGGTGCCACCGAAGTCGTGCCTATGGAGGGCGCTATTCTGAGGCAGGCTCTCTTAACTGTCAAAATGCGTGGAAGCTGAACAATGGTGCCAAAAAGGAACCACCTACCGTGAGGCACATAAACAGTTTCCGAGTTGGTCACGGACACCAAAGACTTTAGCATTTGTCTAGACGTGACGGTGTTATAGGGAGCCGGACCGACATCAAGAAGCCAGCACGGGTTCACTGGAAGAAACCCCAGAGACCCGTCCTGAGCCAGCGATCTTCGAATAACCTAACTCGGCAAAAGTATACCTTCTCTAACCCTCTGCTCCACGCCCAAAGTCTTTGGCGAGGAGGTCTTCGACTGGCGTTCTACAACAGCTGATGGAATTAAATTGCAAGAGCTTGGGCACCATCATTGTAAGCCTGTAAATTTACATTGTCCCACGGCATCAAGAGCCACTGCGCTTGGGCAAATCAGATCGTAAAGGTCGTCAGATAATTGTACATATTACCAAGAGCAGCCCCTCGGTCCCAGTCTAACCGGTCATTCCCATCCATGTCTGAGGACTCATGAAATGGTTGTGACTGGCACTCATGGCCGTTTCAACTTCGACTTTAAACTGGACGCTCACCTCCCATCTCTGCCCACTACTGCCCAATCCATACCCGCCGCTTAGTTTGTTGCGGACAATGCTCGTGATTCGCTCCCTCAGCTTCACCAGGTTCTCTTCACTGCCAACGACTCGGAGACGCAGATTCGCCATTCCTGTCCCGTAGTGTGCTTGCCAGAACTTGGCCTGTTCGACCGCCCGCACCAACGGGTCAGATTCAATTGTCTCCACCACTTCAGACAGCGCAGAAGCGGATTTCGAGGGAAGAGACATCAGAAGCATCGAGCCAACGTTGCGGCCAAGGTGGAAGCCCAGAAAGAGCATAGAAAATGCAATGCTTAGTGACAGTGCCTTGTCCATCCATTCATAAGTATGAAGGTCCAGTAGAGGGAGTAGCAGGACAGTCGCTGAACAGGAAAGTGTCAGAAAATGACAAGGATTGCTAAGAAGGGAGGGGAGGTTCTCCATTGCTGCGAAGCGCATTGCCTTGCCGATTCGTGCGTGGTTCTGCAGGCCGACTGCGGATATCAACGTCGCCACTAGGGCCAGTATCGCCGTCACGTCGACGGTGCCAGCCGTGACTTGTTCGTGGGTGTGTGGATGGTGAGGCTCATGGCCAATGCCTTCCAGGGCGTGCTTTGCGTTATGTGAGATGAGGTCGAAGCCAAAGAAAATCAACAGTACAGACAAGGCGAATCCTGCAATGACTTCCATGCGTTGCAGACCAAACGGATGCCGCACGCTTGATCGTCCCCAGACTTCGAAATTGGAAAGAACCTCCACTAAAACACACAGTAATGCCCCTAAGGAATCATAGAAGATCAAGTGTGATAAGGCTTCCATGGCCGATGAACCATGCGAGTTCCACGCTGTGTAGCCTGCAATGGCCATGTGGCATATGCTCCAATGGAAGCGAACTTTCTGATCTTTAGTCATACTCGCTCGGCATTCCGCGAAGGTAGGAATTGGAAGCGAATTGGGCAGCGCCAACGGTGCCCGTGGAGGAGGCTCGAGGAAGATCTGGTGCGAGACGCTGCTGTGCTTGTATTTATGGCCGCGCCTTTGGCCGATATTCTATTCAGGTGAAACGGAATAAGTTAGCGATCCTACCACAATTTGGGAGTTATGGATATTCTGGGACAGCCACGAACAGATTTGATCACGGGTGACTTTGCCAGCGTCGATGGCTGGAAGTTGAAGGGGCCGGCTCCGTTTCCGTTTGCATTTCCACCAGCGCTTTGCTTTTCAGGTGTTATAGGAGAGAAGTAAGCGACTCCGGACAAGGCCATGTGTTCAGGCTCGAGCTGGTGCGGCGACAGTGAGTTCGGGTCATACGGAGCGTCTGGATCGAATGCTGCGAGGTTCTGAGGCGGCAGCTCGTCAGGAGGAGGCGTAGGAGTTCGAGGAGGTAGGGGAATGGGCATTGAATTGGCCATGGCTGGCAAGAATCCTGTCGTCCTTTAGAGGGGCTGCTGCCCAGGATGACTTGGAATGTAGATAGGTATATGTGCCTTGTGTAAATGCTATGCAATACCTAGAGACTGAGAACTCGTAAACTGTACCCCGTACGAGGTATTCTCCTCAGAGAGGGGATGAAGATGGGCCCAATAGGGGAAGTTGACATGCGGAGTTGCAGCGGAGAAACTGATTATCCGGCCATCAACCTGGCCATTCGTTCAACTGTCTCTCGACAACTCATCATCCCTTGCCTCCCCCAAATCCATCTCAATCACTATCATTGTCAAACTCTGCGATGAGTCGCAGAAGGCTACAACCCAGTGGATGGAGAGTCCACGGGTCGCACTGTTGATCATACTGCTCCTATTTGTCTTCCTCACTCCTGAACAACCCGCACGACGCTTGCGCCAAATCGACTCGGATCGAGTCGAAGAAGAGCGCCGGGTTGGACATGACGTTTTGGCAAACTCATCTTATGGCCAACTCAGCCCGAAAGCGAACAGTTGGTTGAATCTAACAGGCTTTCGAGAAGCCGATGGCTATGACTGGGGTTCCCTTGCCCTCGCACAAGACCTCAGCCGGGGGCAGTTTGCAACCAACTGGAATGGAATCGACGTGACCGATGACTTACCCATCTTTCAGAGAGTCACGGGCGAGGTCCGCGGCAAATTCTACCACAATGAAATTGCAGGCATCTCTCCTGTAATCAACCTGACCGCCCTGGACCCGAAAATGGACTATCTCATGCCCAGATTTGAAAGGAACATCACCGAAGCGGAAGGCGAGCTTAGTCTCTCGCTCTATGATCGCGGTGAGAGACCCGTTCATGAATCCTCTTCGATCAAAGCGGACATATACATCTGGACAGATTCCTCTCCTGGCAATGGTTGGCAGGCAAAAGTCCAAGGCGTTCATCTTGCTTCGGGCCAAATTATCATGTCTACAACCAGTTCCAAATTCGACTCTCTGCCTGCTCTTCCACATTTTGCACTAGACGCCGGCGCTTTCAATGCATCAATACCCGTGATGAAGGAGACAATGCACAAGATTTGGGATAAAGTCTTCGATGACGGAGTCGACGGACTGGCATTTGCCCCTCAGTGTGAAGTCATCGTCTGGTTGCAGCCGATCCCATACAGATTTCCGAGTCTCGATTCGACAAGAACCAGCAAGTTCCTTCACCAAGTTGAACAGGAGCTCTCTCACCCAGACGGCGCTCCGGTCGGAAAGCTTCCGCCACTAAGTTTTTCAGCTGTCATCTTTTCGCCCGACTGCGGCTACATCCTTTCATCTCCCACAATTTTTGGACCTAAGATTGAAGCATATTGGGCTCTCGCGCAGCGCCTGTTGTTTGCGTACGTTATTTCCATTGGGATGCAAATTGCTCTTCTCAAACGGCAGATGGAAAAGGCTTCGACGCCCTCAACTCGGAGCCGCATCGCCTATCAGAGCATCGTCATTGCTGCCCTTGGCGATGGCTTGCTTTTGTTTGCGCTTATGGCCCTGCTCATGATAGATGATGCGGCTTTTCTAATGGTCGCAGCTGCTGCCTACTTGACCTGCATACATGTTGCTTTCTTAGAAGTGAAGTTTATCTTTGACATATGGACAGTCCAAGTCGGCGACCCTGCACGTGCAGAACGGGAACGGCAACAGAGGATTGCTATCGATACAGTAGCTGCACCCGTTTCAGCTTCGACAGAAGCACCGGCATCAAGCGATGAAGGTACTGTTGGCCTACCGCTTCCAGCTACAGCTCCACGGCCCGAAGGAGCTTCTCCAGTGATCATCCCTTCCGATCAGGGTAATCCTGTGCCGGCGGAAATTCCAAGCTCACGTGCATCATTTGCTGCCATCTACAGCAGATTCTACTTCTCGCTCGTGATGCTTATGTTTTTCTCGCTGTGGGCCACAACATGGCCAAGAACTTTGCGATCAGCTTATGCCAACCTTCTGGTCTTCTGTTACTTCTCCTACTGGTGGCCACAGATCTATCGCAACGCAATGCGTAACTGTCGAAAGGCCTTGAGCTGGGAATACGTGCTTGGGACAAGCATTCTTCGCGCGGTCCCAATCCTCTATTGGTATTTCGCGGACAACAACCTCCTTTCTATCGACACTAGTCCGACTGCAGCTTTCATTTTGCTGGCATGGTTGTGGCTTCAAGTCGCCGTTCTTGCGAGCCAGCAGTTCCTGGGACCTCGTCTTCTCGTGCGAGACTCTTGGTGCCCCCGGGCTTACGATTATCATCCTCTTCTGCGTGAGGATGACGTCGAAGCAAATGCAATGTCAATTGGGCGGCTTGCGTCTGCGTCTGAAGCTAAAGACAAAGATGACAAGACACGTAAAGTGTTTGATTGCGCCATTTGTATGAACGAAATCGATGTGCCTGTCCTGACGAAGGCAGACAATGCAAGTGGAAGACCTCTTGGCAGGGGTACTGGAGTGGCATGGCTTGAGCAGAGAAACTATATGGTGACTCCTTGTAGGCATATATTTCATGCCGAGTGTCTTGAGGGTTGGATGAATCTGAGGCTCGTTTGCCCTGTATGCAGAGAAGGGCTGCCTCCACTCTAAGTACTGGTTCATGTCCAAAGCCGATTTGGCGAAGATTCATGTACAAAATGCGCCGTGCAAGTTTTCCCCATTTGAAAAGCGGCCTACACTGCGTCCTGTATATGCACCGTGATATAAAATCTTGATCACTGAGATCTGGGATGGGAGGCTACGCGGGTGGAGCAAATACAAATTTGGAAAGCCGAATAACTCAACTGTTGCCACCGCGAACCAACGATCATCCCGAGATTGGGAGTGCTGAGATCTAAGTGGTCCTGAAAAGGATTGTATTAAATGCGCGCGTCCTGCCGAGTTCCCGCTATGGAGTTCACCTTCGTACCAGCTTTTGCTCGCCCCTTGTCGGAGTAGGAGTCTAGACTATCATAGGGGTTGGCAGCCTTGCATCTCGTCTTCTATTCAAACTCTTGAATCTCCAGTCTCGTCTACAGGGCCCAAGCATCTATCATATCATGAATCCACTCTAACTTCAAATATTGCCGCCCACTACAGGCGCAGTCCGCATATTGCATCGGTGACTTATTAATACTAAGACGCTTGGATCGGCGGATCTACGTGAACTGGATGCTAGCACAAAGCTGCAGGAGCAGTCGAAGATCAGGCTTGAGGACGTATCTGTTGTTAGGAGAATGGCATGGAGAGCATTTGAATGGGAGGTGGACGAGGACCCCCATAAGCCAAAGCCACAGCTCTCATTTTTCTGACTTTCTTTTCCATTTAGATGCCTATGCTATCCTCTGTCCTTGCCTCCATGCAATATGCCATCGTGACTCAAACTTGGTCAGAATTACGCCTCGAGTGGGTTCAGTCTCGTTCTGCGACAGTCAACTGCCCTTTCAACCACAAATCCCTCGAACTGAACCCAACAGCCACTTCAAATGTCCCAATAGGAATCATCCACTCCTGCATCTTGACGTTCCAATAACTCAAATCCCGCCTCGTCAGGAGAAAGCTCGCGGTCCGCGACTCGCTAGGCTCAAGCCATATTTTGTCGAAGCCGCGGAGCACGTTCAGCGGTGTGGACATGGAGCTGGGAATTGGGGGCAATGAAAGGTACAGCTGCGGCACCGCGGCGCCGGCTACATCGCCGGTGTTCATCACCGTAACGTTCACTATGCAGGCTATCTGCCACAGAGACGGGTTCCCGCCGGGGGTTATGGGCAAAGAGTCCGGAAGGGAGTTGATAGTCGTGTTGGGCATATCCGTGCTCAAATCAAACATATCGAAGGTAGTGTACGACAGGCCGAATCCGAACTCGTACAACACGGACTTATTGTAATAATCGAAATGCCGGTAATCGATCAGCAAACCCTCGGTGAAGTTCGATTGCCATGCGTTTGGATCTTCGGTCTCCAGCAACTTGGTGGAGTTCGTGATGTCGCTAAACCTATAATCGCTCTCACTCAAAGCGATGGTATACGGCAATTTGCCGCTCGGGTTGACCGTTCCGTAGAGTATGTCGACGATAGCGTTGCCAGATTCTTGTCCCGGAAGATGTGCTGCAATAATGGCTGTGACATTGGGGTTATTGGCCCAGGGCATAACGTTCAGACCGGCCGAGTGGGTGATGACCACAGTGTTGTTGCAGTATGCAGCAACAGAGCTGGCGACCGCTGAGCTGTCCCAGTCTGCTTCTAGACTAGCCCTGTCACTTCCCTCACTTGCCCAGGATTTGAGAAACACGAGGCAGACTTCTGGGACAGGGACAATCGCACCAAGGCCATTTGGTTGAGTAAGCAGGTTGTTGTTGAGGATATACTGGATGAGGGTCCCATCCAAGGCAGCGCGTGCTTTTAGCGCCTCGAGCGGAGAGACGAGATATGATAGACGACCAGTCCCACTGCCACCAGCAATAGGAAGGGTTCCATATTCTGGCATATCTCTTATCAGTGTATATTTCATAGGGAAGAGAAGTCAGAGCTGCTTACCATAGCCGAATGGATTCTGGAAGGCAGAAGTCAAGAAATACTGTCCATTCACCAAGTCACCGGCATCATTTCCGAATACACCAAGGGTCTTGGGCGCTTTGAGGGGCAGGATGCCGTTTGCGTTCTTTAGCAGGACTGTACCAGCAGCAGCAATATCGCGGATAAGTTGGCCGTGGCCGTTCCGAACATCCACATTAGAAGCCCCAAATGTAAAGGGATGCTCATAAGGCGGATGGTTTGAGTTGAGCGTAGGCTCCATTTCGTCGACTGGCGGGTATTCGTTCTGGTTCAGATAGAAGTACGGAGTCATGATCCGTCTGGCCATGTCGTCGAGACGATCCTGGTCGAGGGTCCCGTTTTTGATCGCTCGAGTCACGTTCCCTCCAAAGAACGAGGTGTTCTGCAAGCCACCAATGCTCCCTGTGGGAATGCTTGTCAGAAGGCTCCTGAAGCACGAGAGGAAAACAGGTACTCACCAGGCATGTCCATGTCCAATCCTGCCTTGATGGCATGGACTCCAGCATGCGTTGCTTGCCAGTCGGACATCACATAGCCTTGAAATCCCAGCTCCGTTTTCAGCAGGCCATTCAGCGTCTTGGAGTTCTGACACCCATAGGAGCCATTCAGTCGGTTGTAGGAGCACATTATAGAAGCCGTGCCCGCCCGGACGCCATTGGCGAACGGCCAAAGATACAACTCGTGTATAGTCCGATCATCAATGTTTGAGGAGACTGCTTCGATTGTGGTGCCGTTCGGAGATAATCCTGGATTCCGATGCGTTTCCTGCTCATTGCCAATGTAGTGCTTGAGGCAAGCTTGAACGCCGCTCCGTTGCATACCCCAAATGGTGTTTTCTGCTGCGACGCCGGTCAGGTATGGATCAGGGGAAAAGCCTTCCCAACCACGTCCACCATATGCAGAGCGTCCTAAAGGTCCAACAACGGGCCCAAGGGCCACATGGCTCCCTTTGCCTTTGAATTCTGCTCCCAAGAACAAACCGCGGAGATACATAAGCCCCCTGTCCCATGACGCCGCAGCTGTTAACCCTGCAGGGAAGACAGAAGCATATGTCGCTTGTCTGATGGCGAGGGGGCCGTCTTGGAGACAGAGCCCGTCAAACCCGACGCGCGGGATACCACCAATGTTGCCGACACATGGGCCCTCGGTACCTGTCACCAGTTGAGCTTTCTCTTCGAGTGTCAGGTTGGACACGAATGCCTGAGCCTGAGTAAAGGCTACTTCCCATCCAATCCCCGTGCTTGGGGGACTGGGATAGACCGGGGGTGAAGTGCCATAATCTTGGGCGACACCCCGAGCTGTCAAGGCCAGCAAACTTGACCAGAGTGTGACAAGCAGCATCTTGGGCGACCGGCCAGACTGTGAGAAGCTTTGCTCGGAGAGCGACAATGTGACATCGTGTTCGCCTTGCCAACCTTTATACCCGAGCAACATCGAGAGAAATTTCATTTTTCCTACCCGTGCCACTGTAGTCGACTGTAGCCCATGCACTCCAGCAATGGTCGAAATTGGCAAAGGACCTCTTGAAGGACCTCGCACTGTGAGGAAAGAGAATTTGAGAGAGTCGTCAATGCGCCTTGCTGGGGGTTACGCGTTACGCTGAGTCGGGAGATCAACTGTCCGACAGTGTTTGTATGTAATAATGGAGAAGCAAACCACGCAGAGTGTGGAATGTGGCTGTGCGACCTCTCTCACTCTCTTTATGGAATTACACAAAGAAGAGGCTGGTGGAACTCGAGGGCGCAATCTCTGCTCTTGGTCGATGCTGCCTCTTGAAAGCCGCTCACCTCGTTTCGCATCAAATACCAAATTTATGTGCATTTAAATGCAATACTTGCATACGCGAGCCTTCCGAAGGGCGAGTGATACACGAGTGTTAGCATGGGAAACGAACGGTGCAACAACTCTGAGCTCTTGAAGGAGTCACTATTCTCTCTGGGAAAGGCAGGAGCGTCTATTATGTATCGAACCGAACATTACACATATGATATTCGGAATGACTGACTGAATGCAAGATCTCGGCCCTGATCGCTTCGAAGCTGTTTGCCACGATCTCGGCGTTAAAAAGGCAGAAAAGTTGAACCCCTCACGCTGGATCTATTATCATGCGAAATGGGTGCTTGTCAGACGGGATGCAACTCCTTCATCCCAGCCAGTCAGCATGGGCAATAGCGAGAACGATGAAGCGAGAAGTGCAAGGAGACTGGACGGTGGCCATTAAAATCCCTTCGTCTGTGCCTGCGCAGTGTGCACCGTCGAGGCAACCGAGTCAGTTCGTTACAACATGCAGATTTTCCAGGATGAAAATCTCGAGGCAGTCGAACTTCTCGAACGGCCATGGTCAGGCGAGAAGCTTCTTGAAGTAAGGACGGGCAAAGTAAGGCCTGTTTTCGGCATCAATGTCCAATGTGCCATCTTCAAGAATGTCCGACCAGGACCTGTCACAGTCAATAAGTTGGGATGCGAAGGCGACCAGGACGCGTTGAGCTTCATGGCGGCCCCGACATGGCCGTCCTCCAATACAGCACCCTCCACTATCATCGATGGAAGGAGGAGATCCCCCAGAGCGCATATTTGTTTGTCCTGGGCGGGTTTTGGGAAAACCTTGTTGCAAAGTACGCCAATGAACGAAACATTAGCATCGGCGATATCGTCCAGATTGGGACCATCATTGCGCCAGTAACGGTGCCTCGTCAGCCGCGCTTCAAACTGAACCACCGGTTTCAGGCCAAAGATATTATGTCCAAGCGCTCCCAGGACCTCTTCCGGGCAGGTTGGCTGTACCCAATTTTAAAGGAAGGCATGGTGCAGGCTGGAGACGACATGACTCTTCTTGAACGACCGAATCCTGAATGGACGATAGCCAAAGTTCAACACTACCTCTATCACGATATGCAGAATGAAAAAGCCATGAAACAACTGGTCGAAGTTGACGAGCTAGGGGCCGAAGCCCGCGCCATTTTTGCGAATCGCCTCAAGAAGCAGCATGAGGATTAGGAGAAACGGCTCACGGGGAGACGCGATGGCAATGAATTTCTGGTCCAATTACAGACTCATCAAGAAGGAAACAGAGACTCCAAAGATTGTTTCCTTGACATCCGAGCATACCGAGCCCTCATCAAGCCCCGAGAAGGTTCGGCCGGGGTCGCATGTGCGAGTGAACCTGGGCGATGGAAAGTTAGTGCGGGCGTACTCGGTCGTTGCAGGTGATTCAAATCGTTTCGAGCTCGCTGTCACCCTTAGCGAGACCAGCCGTGGAGGGTCACACTTCATCCACCAGTCCCTACAACTGGGTGCACACTGTTATTTGGGAAGATCACAACGAGTTTCCCGCTCTCAAATGAGGCTGACAAGCATGTCTTCATTGCTGGTGGCGTTGGCCTGACCGCGTTCATCGCATCTGCGGAGCGCTGTCAACGTGAAGGTCTATCATACCATTTGCACTATCTAGTTCGAGGCTCTCGCGATATAGCTTTGAAGAGATATCACAACCTGTTTGGATCAAATATTACCATTTACGACAAGTCCGCAGGAAAGAAGTTCAACGCGCGCCTGTACTAGGAAAAGTGGACGACAACACGCATGTTTACTGTTGCGAGTCCAGGAGACTCCAGAATGCCATTCTCGAGGTTGCTAATTCAATGAGTATCTGTTCTACTCATCTCCACTTCGAGAATTTCGAAGTCACGACTTCTGGAGACCCATTCGTGGTGCAGCTGGCTGATTCTGGGAGCGCTGTCCATGGACGGAGAGGAGACCCTGCTCAACGCGTTGCGAGAGCCGGACTGGATATTTCGTCTTCCTGTGAGGCTGGGAATTGTGGTACTTGTCGCGTTGGTGTCAGAAGCGGCAAGGTAGAGCACAGAGGGACGGGGTTAATGGAAGACGAAAAGTGCTCGGCAATGCTGAGTTGTGTATCAAGAGGTATTGGAACAATTGTGCTGGATCTCTAAAGAAAAAAAAAAAAACACAAAAGAAGCCTAAGAGCACACCCTGGTGGAGTATCGGAGTGGTGATATCAAGTGATTGTTCTTTAATATTAGCCGCCTGCAGCTGGATAATATGTACCTACGTTATAGAGAGTTGAAGAGGACGTGACCGGGAACTTGAGCTGGTCAGTTGCAAGATATACACAAGTCTCCGGCGATCTTAGAGGAACCTCTTTTTCACCCAGCCTCTGATGGCTTCGGCCACCTTTCCAGGCTGTTCCATTGCGCACCAATGACCTGATTGGATTTCTGTCATCTCGAAGTCCAGCAAGTATCCCGCCTCCCTCGACATGTGAATCAGGTCGATTCGACCCACACTGTCGCCCGTGCGCCCAATGAAAAAGAAAGGAACCTTGACAACGTGATTCTCCTTGGGAACCTTCTTGTTGTCTTCCCACTGGAGGTTACCTCTATGTGCTTTATACCAGTTTGTCCGGCCCTGGAAGCCATCCTTGCTGAAGCGGGGCATGAAATCATCCCTCTATTTCGGCTCCTTTGCATAAGACTTCAAAGTTCACCCGCCTGTTGCCCGACATGTAAGTCGTCATTGCGTCTTCGCCGGCGAACATTTTCTCCATCCAGTCAGGCTCAGCGCCATGCAACACTTCCCAGAATCTTTCAAGATTATTGTCGATGATCTGGTAGCCGTCTGGCGAGGTGAAGAAATACCAATACTGGTAAAGGGGATATCCAAAGCGCTCCTTGGTGATGGCATTAAAACCGTCAAGGTCGAACTGAAGGTCAGCGCGTTGGCCAGACCATTTGTACATGGAGACATCGGTGGGCTGGAAGTACCCGCGTAGCCGAGGCAATCTCGGATGATCATCTGGCATGGTAGATACGGGAGCAGGTCAATGACCTCTGACCACATGAGGGCGCTGTCTGGGAAGCCATGGATGAAGAACAACGCCGGCTGGGAGGAATCGGCCTTGCTCTTGGGTGAGATATAATATGTGTAAGTGAGTACGCTTCGTCTCGACTGTCTTCTTCTCGAGTTGGACCATCGCTATCAGGCGTGCAGAGGGCCTGATTCAAAGCTTGGAAAGATTGATGAGTTTGCCAAAGGGACAATGAGGGAAGAAATAGTCTCAGAACATCTGCCGCTTTCACACAAGGCGACCTACCTGCCGAGCACGGTCTGACAAGACAGTCTATAGATCAAAGGCGACATTCGTTTAATAATGAGTATTTCGTTCCCGTTTGGAAATAGTGACTCTGTTATTTGTCCTATTCTCGTCAGATATATTTGACCCAGGTGGGCTCCTCGTTGTTAGCGTTTTTGAGCTTGTCAGACCGTTGCTATTTGCGTGGTCTTGCTCTGTACCTAGGTACGTAATCCGGTAATCTTGGGATGCCATTGACCAGATGAGAGGCAAAACTGTGCCTTAACATAAGCATCACCTTCGACAATTTGTGATCAGGCCTGGTGCAGAGTACCGCGCCCTTCCTCGATTGGTGTAGGATATGCTTCAGCTCCCCACTTTCAAACTCAGTTGGGAAGCCTATACAGTGTGTGGTCGCACCGGTTACCTGCTTCTTCCCTAAGACCGGTATGTATTTGAGATCGATATCGCCTTGAGGCCCTACAAAGGGAGTCAGCCTGAATCGATCAAGATGAATACATCCTCGACCGATCTCGACGAGAGAGACCACCCACGGCACATCATCGGCCTCCAAACGTTCTCTTCCTGGTAGACACATCTTAGATTTCGATATCGCTGAGGCCGATGTGCAAGGCCAGCTGCATAATGTTCAATGGGTGCATCCGAAAGCGAGTTGGAGGTGGATGGCAACTAGCAAGCGATCGCAAATTGATCGCACGTTCTGTAGACACAAGGCTAAGTCCAGCAAGCTGATAAAACACCGTCAAATATTACGACTCCAGAGAACTGCGACTCGAAAAGGTGTCGATGTCTGCATTCGCAGGCTAGTGAGGCTTAGTATGTAGCAATATGTACCCCCGTAGCTGGTCGCTCGGTAGGTCGGCACGTGCCGCATACACTTCCCCAACTCCGTGCTTTCACGTGATATTTTTCAAAGCTTGGGTTTGCATTCCTGTTGACAGGGTTGCAAGATCGCCACTGTGGCAAACCACCTGAGATGTTAACTGTCTCACCAACTGTGCCACTTACCTCAACATCGTTGATCTCGTCGATCTGCGATAGCATGACGACGGAATAGGAGGTTTCAGGAAAGGCCTTCGAATCACAGGCCAAAGTGTATATAAACAGGCAGAGTCTCTCTGAATAGGCAGAGGGACGAGACACAATCAATCAGATAGAACCACTCCTGTTCTGTTTACAACAATTCCAACCTCTGCACATGTAGAATACCTCAGATACGCGAGCAGGAGCATCACCAGGGGGCGACACAAACCCTTGTTGCCAGATTGGGGGAATAGGTTTTCGTTTCGCGAGTATTAATCAGGGCACACTAGAACTAGGCTTTAACGGGGTCGGAACTCGCAAAAGTTGCCGCCTTCAAACAACGCAATTTGTTTTCCAGCCTGCCCTCTCCCTCTCTGGACATCGCTTATTCAAGTCTCTCCCTCAACCCCATTAACTTCGACCACGAATTCAATGCTTTCCATGTGTCATCCTACGGGAAATATTGGCTGCAGGTCTTGTATGCATTGCTGGCGGACAATTTCTGTCTCTTCTACGGGGTGAATCACCACCGCGGGGTACAATATGCGCGTCGCGAAATCTAAGGACCTGCCATGAACGGGTACGCCAATGGCGCCATTGAAACCACTGATAAAGATAAACCTACCCCATTCCCGAAACTTGAGGAGGATGTTGGCTACATTGGACAGGAGCGAGAGTTCCGGGAGAGCAACAAGCTGAGGAAGCGTAATGACGGCGCCCCAGGCCACAGGAGATCCGTATCCGGAAACCTGCTCTCACGTTTGACCTTCCTCCGAACAAACAGCGACCAGGACAAGATAAACGGTGGCGATCGAGATGGCTCGGATTTTCCTCATCGAGGGCGAGGTGCCATGGCGGAAGCACAAGCCCAGAGCAAGAGAAAGAGGAAGGGGTCATTGAGGAAAACAGTTCTGGGAAAAGGACGGGACAGAAAGACCTCCGATGTCAAAAAGTCACCTCTGTCCGGTGCAAGCTCGCCTTCCGTGCAGCCGACAGACGAAGAGCAAGAAGCGCCGCCGACTCCTCGTGCAAGACAAGATCTATCAAGTCCAGCGTCGCCCGACTCTCCCCCTTCATGGCCATTTCGCACATTATCACGCGTCTCAATACCCTCGATCCGCAGTAGTATAGCATCTGTCGATCCAGCCTCGTCTACAGCCTCGATCATCAGTCCAAACTTGGCTACTACCGATGTCTCAACAGATGACGAAGACCTCGTGTTACCGGGTATATCTGCTTTGCGGAAACTCCCATCTACGTCCTCTTTTGGGACAGATTCCTATTTCCCCATCCAAGATCCGATGCGTCGGATGTTCGGCTCCCGCACGCGCTCGCCGCTAGCTACGCAACCGCAGTCTATCGTCGGCACGCCGCCTGACGAAGATGTCTGGGACTACTCCGAAACCGCGTTTTGGGGGTACGTCATTTTATTTGTGACGTGGATTGTTTTTGTCGTGGGCATGGGATCTTGCTTCGGAGTATGGTCATGGGCTTGGGATGTGGGAGAAACACCATACGCGCCTCCAGAGCTGGAGGATGATCCCACCTTACCGATTGTTGGGTATTATCCGGCACTGATGGTCTTGACGTGCATCATGGCTTGGGTCTGGGTGGTAGTAGCGTGGGTGGGGATGAAGTATTTCAGACATGCGGATTTCAGAGGAGATGACGGCTAACGCCATGAAACAATGTGAGAGCAACTTTGATCGAACAATTTGTGGCTGGTATCAAACCCCAAAGCACCTTGCTCGGACCGCTTTTTCCATCATAAACACTCCACGTATTGATATCAATTTTGTTGGATCCCTTTGACTCCTTATCATCCCCGAATCCTAAAAATATATTGTTGCGCTCACATAACAAATCTTCAAATTCACAGGAGAAGCACTCCTCTTCGAATCAGATGCGTCCCCGAAAACGAAGACGAAGGCGCAGACATCATCTCTAAACCTGCACCTGGTCTGTCAACCCATTGGTCTCCCGGCACTTCTGTAGCTGCAAATTCGCCATCTTCTCATGGAATGCGTCTAGATCTTCCTTTACAATGTATTCCCCAGTGGCATTCTCGACTTCGGCACGTGGCACTGGGGTACCAGCGAGCGGAGTGGGTGTTGCAGCTCCCCCACCTGGAGCTTTTGACACGAGCCCTTTGGACCTAGCGAACCCTGTCGAGCGTTCTGTTGAGGGATCTGGATCATAATATTCATCCTTGATCGGCCGGACGAACACCGTCTGTTTGCATATTGTGACGATGGTATTCGTTGGGACGGATAGCCAGTTGTGCCGCTCGAATGTGAGCGGTTCACTAGCGACTAGGACCACGTCGGAGGCTTTGTCTCTTCTCTCCATCTTAAATTGTCCTTTCATCTTTCCTTCAACCCACGCAGTGCCTGATGAGTAGTACAAACTGGCGGCCGCGTCGGTTTTAGAGCTGACATATCGTGTAACGATGACAGTGTGGCCGTCTGTAACAGCAAAATTGAGGAGACTTCTGGTTTCAACATCCGGGACCTTGTATTCCGGAGGGACAGCCTTCACAAACGCATTGATCTGGGCGATCGTCTTCTTCATTGCTCGCCTCAGAGTCTTCGTATCGAAGCCACCTTCGGGCTCGGAGCTGGGATCCACTCCTTCACGCTCCAAAGTATCGAGAAACAACGCAAATGCCCATTCCGAATCAGTTCCGCCTTTCACACCAAGAAACCATTTGTCCGAGAGACTGTCAGCGAGAGGCCGTTTCACGTACTTCCAGGCCCCAATGTTGCCGTTGTGCATCCACATCAGGGTATTGTGCTGAAAAGGGTGGCAATTGTTCTCGGCCAAGGATCCTTCGGTGGTGGCTCTGACATGGGCAAAGATTAGCCTTGAGGCTGTCTTGGGCGCGAGGCGTTCGAGGTTCACACAGTTCCAAGCTGGCAGGGTTGATGTAAAGATACATGGGTCTGGCCCTAGTTCTGGCTCCGTGTACCAGCCAACCCCAAACCCGTCTCCGTTGACTGGGCGGCGGCTATCAAGGCGAAGGCGGCTGTCATAAGATTGAGTGAGAATGCTGTGTGATGGTTCGGTAATCAACTTGGAAAGAATGATCGGCTGAGAGCCTTTGTACACCTGGAATATGCATGAGTATGGAGTACCTAGGGAGAGGGTGTAGATCCGGATCAAATGCGTACAAGAAACCGGCACATCTTCAAACAAGTAGAATTCGAAAATGAGTCCTATTTTGAAGTGATGTTGGTTTTTGAGTCATATATTCGATAAGGAGCATTATCTTTCTCTGACTGGGAGTGGCACGGAGGCAAAAGTATCAGCAGTGTCCAAGTGCGAAGCATCAAATGACCCCAACCCATAAACGCCAGGACCCCGGTGTATACGGAAAGGAGATAGAAAAGTAGAAGGACAAATACTGTTGTCTTAAGAGGATATGGTGACACGCGCAAGCTGAGCTCTGATTGACGCCAGACTTCACCGCCATGCTTGGGGGTTGAGATCAGGAAACGGTGGCTGCAGATGTGGCGCCATCTGTGGCTGCTACATTTTCCGTGCAAGAATATTCGGTACCCAGTACAACGTCATTCGCCGTTCTCGCGTTTCATCGCCCCGAACATATCAGTCGACTCCATTTCCACAACTTTTCTTTTATTTGTCTTCCATCTACCTTCATGTTCGAGCTGACCTGTGATGAGCGGTAGACTCCTCTCTGCGAGGGTCGCGCCTTTATTGCGCCAACGAGGCGTCACAGCGCGTCTCCTCCACAACAATTATGCCATAACAAGAGCGGGCGGCCTGTTGAGGCCAAATGCACGTCTTCCTCTGCGAGCATGGCCGATCGGATCCAGCTCTATCCACAATGTCCCTGCCGTCCGATCCATCTCCTTTGCCAGGATTCTCCCTAAACTCGCTCTGAAAATGGCTCGAATACCTGCCATGTTTGGAGCGAGCATCCTCGCAGGCATAGCTTACATCCAATACCAAGCCGCCCAGGCTGGAACTTATACCTTAAACGTTCTGAAGAAGGCCGGAGATGCTGTCGCAGAGACCTCGTCAAATATGTTCGAAGGTGCGAAGGGAATTGTCAATCAAATTGGAGTGGGTTGGGAACGGACGAAGGAGGAGGCGCATCTACCGGAGTGGCTTCAGCAATTTTTCGATAAGGGAGAAGAGTCTGGCGAAGGAGGGTCTGAACCACAAGCTCCTAGGCCAAGTAAAGCCGCTGTAGGAGCTGCAGCAGCTTCAGGCGCCGCAATAGGAGTGGAAGGATCAAGCGAAGACGATGAGCAGTCGGGTGCAGAGATGGCAAGAGATGATCAAATGATGGTATTGACGAGAAAGATGATTGAGATTCGAGGCATTCTCAATACGATTGGCCAAGGAGGGGCTTTGACGCTGCCATCTATCGTGGTTATTGGATCGCAATCATCTGGGAAAAGCTCGGTTCTTGAGGCAATTGTCGGGCACGAATTCTTGCCCAAAGGCTCTAACATGGTCACTAGACGCCCGATCGAACTCACTCTCGTCAACACCCCTGATGCAAAAGCCGAGTACGGCGAGTTCCCTGCTCTTGGAATGGGCAAAATCACAGACTTTTCGCAAATCCAAAAAATCCTAACGGACCTCAACCTGGCTGTTCCCCCCGAGCAATGTGTTAGCGACGACCCCATCCAATTGTCCGTTTACTCTCCAAACGTTCCAGATTTATCCCTGATTGATCTGCCGGGCTATATCCAAGTATCAGGCAAAGACCAACCTTCTGAGCTGAAGCAGAAGATCTCCGATCTGTGTGACAAATACATCCAACCCCCCAATGTCATCCTAGCCATCTCTGCCGCGGACGTAGACTTGGCCAATTCCACTGCTCTCAGGGCAAGTCGAAGGGTTGATCCTCGAGGCGAGAGAACGATTGGTGTCATTACAAAAATGGACCTGGTCGACCCCCGTCGAGGCGTTGAAATCTTGTCAGACAGAAAATATCCTCTGAGGCTAGGTTATGTTGGCGTGGTTTGTAAGATACCACAATCGGCAGGTCTTTTCTCCAGACCTGGCGCCAGTGTGACAAATGCCATCATCAAGAACGAGAACGCATACTTCTCATCACATCCGCTACAATTTGGTCCACAATCAGAACTCGCTGTTGGCACAACCACGCTACGACACAAGCTCATGCATGTTCTCGAACAAACAATGGCGGCGAGCCTTGCTGGAACGAGAGACGCCATCGTGCAGGAGCTGGAAGAAGCAACATATGAGTTCAAAGTACAATATAACGACAGACCGCTTAGTGCTGAATCGTACTTGGCCGAAAGCTTGGACAGCTTCAAACATTCGTTCAAGGAGTTCAGCGAGCACTTCGGCAGAGCTCAAGTTAGGGCCTTGTTGAAAGATGTCCTTGATCAGAAAGTGATGGACGTGCTGGCTAAACGATACTGGAATAAACCAGTAGAGGATCTGTCGCCTGTTCAGCCTGAAGCAGATCCCTTATCGGAGTTGCCCAAAGCTGAACCAGGATCGTTGTACTGGCTACGCAAACTGGACGCCTCGACTTCGGAGCTGACCAAACTTGGTGTCGGGAGACTGGCGACGACGGTGGTGGCGGCTGAACTGCAGAGCCATGTTGACAAGCTGATAGCCGCTTCCACGTTTGCTTCCCATCCTTATGCTCAGCGGTCAATTGTCGATGCCTCGTCGAGCATATTGAACGACCGATTCTACAGCACGAGTGATCAGGTCGAGAATTGCATCAAACCATTCAAATTCGAGATCGAAGTGGAGCCGAATGAATGGAGCAAGGGACGCGAAAATGTGGGCCATGTGTTGAAGAATGAGCTGAAAGCTTGCGAAGCTGCGCAGAGGCAATTGGAAGACAGCATCGGCAAAAGAAAACTTAGAGATGTGATGGGCTTCATCGACCGAGTGAGGAAAGGAGAAATTGTCCTGGAAGGAGATGGGTCCGGCGGTGCAGGTGGCTTTTCGGCAGCCCTTCTTCAAAAAGGTATACTCATGTTTTCACAAATTGATAGGCAAGTCAAGCTCACTGTTATACAAAGGTCGAGAAGCCGTTTTCCTCCGCGACCGTGCCGACATCATCAAGATGCGCCTCATGGCCGTCAAATCTAAACAATGCGCCAACCCCAAAAACAAATACTACTGCCCCGAAGTCTTCCTGGACGTGGTCGCTGACAAATTGACTTCGACGGCCGTGCTCTTCCTCAATGTTGAACTCCTCTCTGAATTTTACTACAATTTCCCCCGCGAGTTGGATTTGAGACTTGGTCGACATCTGGAGCCGAGCGAAATCGAGCAATTCGCGAGAGAAGACCCTAAGGTCAGAAGGCATCTCGATGTCATCAAGCGGAAGGAGATGCTAGAGTTGGTGTTGGAGAAGATTGAGAGCTTGAGGCAATTGGAGGGTCGGACGAAGACGCAACAAGCGAAAGCGTCGCTGGTCAAGGAGAGAGGGCGGTGGAGTCTGTTTTGAAGAACACACATGTTGATGATACCACCATTAGTAGCGTCTATTTTTTGGGTGTTTGGTGTCGATAGAAATGACATGTGGACATGCCTCTCCCGCTCCGGTTCGTACGTTCGCTTCCTGGCAAGGCACCTCTTCAATTATCTCAGAGGCCCCGTCCTCGTTGTTCTAGGATCTGCAAACGGATTCCTAACTTGGGTGCCCGAGTTCCAAGGTATTTCGCCATCCACCTCTTCAATTGCGCCGTTGATGCCGCCCAACTTGTCACCAATCTTGATGACGCTGAACCTGATCATTCTCGGATCGAGACTCAAAAATCGTCGGACGTCCTGTTGCGCCTTAACCGAGGCGTCGAATTGCATCACGAAGTAATGGCCCTGGCGGTGTTGTGTTTGGTGTTTCGTCGTTGGTCGAGGGAGGTCGAATTGACCCCAGTTCTTCATGCCGCGTATCACGCCGTTAGAAGCGAGAATCTGTTGGCCGGCGACGCGGGCGATTCTGTACACGGAGCAAGGCGTGTTAGCGGGTTAAGTCATAAGAGGAAAGGAACCGGTAGGAGAAGTACTCTTTGACATGGTTGAGGTTGCCCGGCCGGACCTGTTTAATGTCAGTTGGACTTCGATTGGGGTTCGAAGGGGAAAGTCAACAAGCTTACAACAGCTATCAGCTCGTAAAGCATTTTTTTCTTGAGGCCGTGGCACCATGAATAAAAGTATGAAGGTTGATTGTTAGATTGGCTTGGAATTGAGAAATTCCCCAGGCGGTCTCCACTTGACCGGCGCAGTTTGGCAGCGGGTTTGTCTCCGTCGCTGCCAGTTCCTTCATCGATTTCATCTGCGGAGCTGGCATGAGCGCACTTTAAATACTCCTTCCTTCCTTTACGCTTGATATTCCGCGTCAAGTTAGAGCAGATGATGAGTTCTCCTGCACTGGGTCGGTTTATGCCGGCAGTCTCAAGACTGGCCACAAAAGGAGTTGTCGTGCCACGATTTTCTGTCAAGTCTCAGCTACGTTCGTCGGCATGCCTTTCTGGGAGATCATTTTCTGCGAGACCTGCCTGTATGTTACCATTTTCTGGATGTCGAATGTCACTAACTCTGTCTCGCAGTACTTGTGAAGAAATACACCGAAGACCATGAATGGATAGAGCTTGACAGCGACGGCAAAACAGGTACTCCTCCCGACGCAATCTTCACCATTCCGGGTTTTTACAGTGCCCTTACTCTCGCGCAGGAACGATAGGTATTACCGAATATGCTGCCAAAGCCCTTGGAGATGTTGTCTACGTTGAACTTCCTGAAATCGGCATGGAAGTGACAAAAGGTGACACAATTGGCGCAGTCGAGTCCGTCAAGTCTGCCTCCGATATTATGACACCTGTGTCGGGCAAGATCTCAGACCATAACAAGCTGTTGGAAGAGAAGCCTGGGACGATCAACAAGAGCCCTGAGTCCGAGGGTTGGCTGGCAAAGATTGAAGTGACGAATTTGAATGAGCTCGACAGTCTCATGAGCAAAGAGGACTACGATAACTTCGAGAAAGAATGATAAGTGTCAATGGCACAAGAACACAATTGCTTCCTCGATATTGGTCTGCTCGTCAAGTACATGAGGGAATATCCACTCCAAGCATCCCTCCCCACCGGTTGTTCACTGGTCTTGCTCTCCCTGTTGCCCATGCAACCCACTGGTGCTGGTATCCTCAATGTTGTGTCGATGCCTCTCCGGATGTATATCAAAGTCAGCCTCACGTGCATCATCACTATCAGCTTCACCGAGAAATGCGGCATTTGTCGTATCTAGGCTTTCTTGCTTGTCTCCCTCCGCAGCTCTTTGTGCCTCGAAGCCATCGTCACTATCGGCTTCGCCTAAGAACGCGGCGTTTCCTGCATCGAGAGCCGGACTGTTGTCGCCTTCTATAGTCTTGCGCACTTCAAAGTGATCATCTGAGTCCGCCTCTCCCAAGAACGCCGAGTTGTCAGCTTCGAGGGCGGGCTGAGGTGCTCCATAAGCCTCCCGGAAGGCATCGTACCCTTCGTTGCTGTCAGCTTCGCCCAGGAATGCAGCGTGCTTGTTGTCTGCAAAGACTTCAGCTTGAGGTGGTACGGTGCCTGGGGGTGGCGCCTGGCTATTGAGAGGGGTTGATCTTGAAGGGCTCGAGGTCGCAGCCGTGGGTCTGAAGTTTGCTGTAGATAGCTGAAGGGCCCGTTGGGGTGCGTTTCGAAGGGGGACACCCAGAACCCCGGATCGGGCTGCTGAAGCTAGGCCAAGGAGCAGAGGTCGTGCTGCCATCATTTATGCCAGGTCTAGAGTGGTCAACTGAAGGCAAAATTCCTGTCCAGAAGGTCGAGTGATCCAAGAGAGAAGAGAGCAGGTCAGCTTTCAAAAGTCACCTGTACATGACGAAAGAGGGGTTGAGGAGTGGATGGGTTTCTTATCACCTGATGGCAACCAGGTAGGCATTCCAGAGCTGCACAGCCCTGACTATCACTTCGCAAACCGTATGCTGAGGTGGGTGGACGAGTGGTTGACAAAGCACTGCGAGCGTTGAAAGGGCAAATCATGCATGAGCAAAAGGGTATGATTTGCGGGGAAGCTTCGCAAGAGGCGAAAGAAGCGAAGGGTCTTGGAGAGCGAAAGCCAATCAATCAAGACTCCGTGACATCCGAGCTTGGAAGTGGAATGTGAATGTCCGACTTACCGAATCAGCAATTGCCATCGCTCTCAAGCTCCAGAACGCGCTCTATATCGTCTATATCTACTTCTCGCTATCTGCGGATCAAAGGGTACCTAGGTACGTGACCCTCAGCAGAGGGTCAAGGGGTTCCACCGTCTTCTTCTAGTGTCCATTCTTCAGGGCACCAGCGTTCGCCGCGCCGCTCGCTTCATCGCTCAGTCGTATGACATATTTGCCAGCAGTCTGTCTCGATATATCAGAATCTCATCAATCTGGCATTGGATGAATGAGGGGAGAAAAAGAAGGGAGGGATGAGGTAGACCGCTCACCTTGCCAAAGTTCTTCGCAATATCATTCAGATCGTCCAAACTCGCCATTTCCACTGCAGGCTTCACAGCACCGCGTTGCACAAACTCAATCGCCTCCCAGATGTCCTTTCTGGTTCCCACAGCAGAGCCGATGATACGCACGCCCTTGGAAATCCCCAGTGTTGGATGAAAGCTGACCCGATGGTCCTCTGGCGGGATTCCCACGCAGACAAACGTCCCATATGGAGCCACCAGTTCCAATGCCGCCTGGTACGCTTTGTCAGAGTTGGCCATGACCAAGACCGCCGCAGCACCATCCCCGGTGAGGGCCATGACTGTCTCTATGTTTAATTCTTTTGCATCATAGTACACTTCGGCGCCTAACTTCAGACAGTATTCCTTTTTCGCGTCTCCGACATCAATCGCAATTACCCGATATCCCATCGCCTTTGCGAACTGAATCCCCAAAGCACCGACACCGCCACCAGCGCCCGATATAACCATCCATCGACCTGGAACTGCCTCGCTGACCTTGATGGCTTTGTACGCCGTCACACCGCCACAAAGAATCGGAGCGACTAGATCATCTGGCACGTCCTCTGGAATCCGGATAACATATCGCGACGGAACAACGGCATACTCTGCAAAGGTGCCATCTCTGCTTAAGCCAGAGCATAGCTTTGCCAAGCAACGGGCCTCGCCGCCCGGAGACAGGCAGCAGAAGCATTCTTCGCACACGTCGCGTACCCACCCAAGACCTACTCGTGCTCCGACATCGATAAAGGAAGCATCCACTGCGGAGCCAAGCTTCACAACCCGTCCCACGCCTTCGTGTCCTAGAATATCGCGAGTCGGACCCAAGTGACCTGCTGCGAGGTGGAAGTCCGAACCGCATACTCCTGTTACCGATAAGCGCACTAGCAAGTCGGTTGGGCTGATATCAGGAACTGGCACGTTTTTGGTTTCAAAGTGATATGTCCCATCGTGTCTCTGGCCAACCATCAGCAAGTGTCCCTAAGCGGAAGGCGGTTATCGAGTGTTCATACCACTAGAATGGCGACTCTGTGAGTTGACGGGATTGCCATTATTGTTTCCCACACCTTGCGCCTGGTTCGGAATGGCCCTTTACAAACTCTGGCAGAAGGTGATCTGTTTCGAACTTGGAGATGCGAAAACTAGAGGTAGCTAAAGGTGAACTGTCGCAGAAACCCAAGGTTACTTATCTGATATTATCTACTCGGCACATCAACAATATACATGTCTCTTCCCCCGGCAGTTGTTTGAGCCTCGACCTCGATCCGATGTGACCCCGAACTGCTAGAGGCTGACCTGTGGGGTTGATTGGGGCTCCGTGGGGCTTCAGGAGGTCATCAGGGGAATCCTTCGGATCTTGATTGATCTTTCTTTTCTCCCGGTCCGAAGGACTACCGATTTTAATCTCCTATTTTTCTTGTGCTCACTTTTGAAGTTAGACTATCAAGGCATGGTCTACTATCGGTGACAAACATTGTTACTTGCTTTGGGTAGTTTGGAGTGCGCATTGAATGAGGGCGTACTCGGGATAAAGGCGGAAAAGCCAGACAAGCATCCTGTTGTAGCGCTGTGTCTCATCATTCACGCATGAATGCAAGTTGCTCCCGGCACCACTGCGGCGGGCCTGTATGACTATTTCAGGCAATGAGGTTCACCTGAGTCGCCATGTTGATGCTACACAGCTACTGTCAGACATCTACCGTACATCAGCAATAATGGCGCACATCAGCTCGAACAATCCTGCGATCCCTCATAGAGACCGCACAAAATCTGCGAACAAGAGTGTATCTGGCTTACTTCGCCGATGAAGTCTTGCCGAAAAGGCAGGAAAGCTCTGCTATACATACTCTGATTCCAAGAATTTCAAACGGCCCGTTGGGGCTAGAATTATCTGTTTTCGATTCTCTGCTCTGACGGCCAATTACGAAGGTAGCGACACTGCGAGGATGGCTATTTTGTACTGTGCCTCGATTCCAGAATAGAAGCTGCCATTCGAGTTGCCGTGATCAAGTCCGACAATTGAGAGGAGCGTTGAAGACATGCTTTGTGGCATAGAAGTGCCGCTACTCCGGTCATCGGCCTCGCTATTCCCCCAATGAGCCGGAACAATTCGATGCACCTGGGTTGCAATCACACTGTCTTTGCTTCCTCTTGTTTCATTCGACCGTCATTTTGCTTTAGGCTCTCTGAGGATTTCTTTCCTTCGAGCTTTATCTGCAGCTGCAGCCCGATCTCCGAACACTCGGTCCATATCTTCCAGACTCCGCCCTTTTGTCTCTGGCACACAGAACCAAGTCCATATTCCACTCAGGGCACAAAAGACTGCCAAAAATGTATACGCTCCAAATCCCCGTGTGTTTTGGATCAGAGGCGGCGTGATCAGACCAATGATGAAATTATTGAGCCAGTTGCTTCAGGTACTCCACGCCACGCCTTTCGCTCGCAGAAAGCTGGGAAAGATTTCAGATGGCATGGCCCATAGAACGGGACACCAGTCATCTCGAAGGTCATCATGTACAGGAAGGGGAAAGCCACGGCCACCCAGCCTTTGTCTTTATGATCGCTCAAACTGTCAAGGTACAAGCCGACCAGGACCACAATGATGATGTGGGAAACGGTCATTATTACACTGCCCAGCAGCAGAAGCGGCCGTCGTCCGAACCAATCCATTGTGTATGGAGACGTCGAGACTCCAACAAGTTAGGTGACATTCAGAATATCCGAGAGGACTAGCCGCATTTTGTAATCGACATTCATGCTCTCGAAGAAGCTTGGTGAGTAATAGATCAGTGCATTGATACCTACAAACTGCTGGACTGCAATTACCCATTAGCTATAGCAGTGCTGACGGAACTCAGAACTTCCGGTAAACGGAGAAGGGTCGATAAGAAAGAAAGGGGGTCCTCACAAAACATCAAGCCAATTCCGACCATTGTACGTCACAAATAGCCTTGTTTGAAGCATCCAGCATAAGCTGCAAGCCCCAGTTTGACAGCAGATCAGCTAGACTGACGACCCTTGATACCGAGATTTGGATGCTTCTCTTTGGCAACCTCTTTGTGGAATGTAATTTCGGCTAGAATATCGAACCATTTCGGATGAATTCGCGGATCATCCACTGGGCTGGGACCCGTCGGACTTTGATGAGAGCTGTCAGTGCTTCCTGGTCACGTCCTTTCGCCACAATCCATTCCGGCGAGAAAGGGATGAAGAGAACAGAGATGCCGAGAAGTATGGCAAGTATGATCTGCAGAAGGAAAGGAAGTCGAAATGGCCATTCACCGTCAATGTACCGCGTACCGAAAGTCAACTAGTAGGCACAGGTGATACCGAAAACAAAGGAAATCTTTTCGAGGACGAGTAATGTGCCTTTGGCGCCGTTAGCAATCCACAGACTCCCGGCGAGGGTAAATAACGAACAGCCTACTTTGATTTCTGGTGGTGACAGTTCAGCGATATATATAGGGACGACCATACTTAGCCCAACAACCTGGATTAGCCCAAGAGATAGAAAAAAAGACAAATGGTTCATGCTGACATTCCAACACCGATACCACCAATGGGTTGGCCAACGATCAGCATTGCATAGCCTTGTGCGGTTGTCTGCAAGACTGATCCAAACACAAAATGCAGACAGCAACGCAAATCGAGTACTTTCTGGATATTTTCTCCGCCACCCAGCCTTGGTTGAATGCCCCTGTGAAGAAATGGTTAGTCCTCAGATGGTCTTGATAGGTCTCGGTAGGTGCCCACCGATTAGTGCTCCAAGTCCGATCATGGCCGTCATCAATCCTTTCCAGAAGCCGGCTCCACTGGCGCTCTCCGAGACACGAGGAAATTGGTCGAGGATTTGATCCATGACAAGGATGGCAGAAACGACACCTTGATCTATGGGAGCGATTCAGTCTTAATCCTTGCTCAAAAGATACGCCTGGGGACATACCATAGCCAAACAAGAAGCCTCCCCACCTGACGACGAAGGCGTAAAGGACGACAGCTTTTGACTGGAAAGTCCCGCGAAGACCTAAAGAGTGATGTTGGTGAGCCGCTTCACATTGTTAATGCCTTCAAGACTCGAGAGCACCAACCATGCTTGACGTAGCTGTCTCGTAGTTCTAATATGAATTCGCCTGTCTGCACAACTCGGTCGCTGGTGGTTCCGGGATGCTTTTTGCGATCTTGACCCTCGAAGCCTTGCACAGGCGAACTGCCGTCACTAGCCATGAGTAAAGTGGCTTTTTTTTCTTCTTTAGAATGATCGGCTTAGTCACAAAACTCGTCTAGTACATCTGTGCGAGAAGAGAGGAAAAGAGTAGCAGGAACAAGAGCCTGCTGTCTCTGTAATTTGAGATCTCTATCGATCGTTATTGTCCTCATGGACCAAGAGGATCCCGCTGGACGTTTCACTCTTTCCCCCCATGACGTCCTGATCATCGGTGGTCTTCGTCTCACCAGACTGTCGACTGTGTGCACTGGCTAGACTGGGACACAACAGAGATGATCGTACTAGGCTACGTAGTAACACTGGAAGCCCTGGTGCTGCCCAGATATGGAGCTTGATGCAGTATTCAAGCTCGGTTGTATCATCTATAAATAACTCCCAAGATAGACTCTGAGCTAATAGAGAATCAGAGATCCGCAGATGCACAGCTTTAGCGATAGATGGCCATCGAAGGTGCGAGGCTATGTTCACCGAGGAGGAATGCAGATTCCATGTTGCTACTGAGTAAACGTTGGGCTACTACCACAACAACGAGGATTCAAAAATATCCCGCCGTTCGAACCAAAGTTCCTTACTCAGGCATCTCTTCATACATATTACATGATCGGGCTAATTATTTTACTTGAATCTTTCCAGCACTTTAGCCCCAGGGGGAAGGCATAGCGGGGTTTCACTCTGTCCGCGGAAAATCTTAAGCCTGGAGTTCCTCTTCGGCTGCGTCCCAACATACGAGTTGGTCAAAGGTGCTCGGGTCCAAGGCACAGTTCGCTTCCAGGTCAAAGTTGTGGTCATAGTTGTCCAACGCCTGCGTTTGATTTCTGGGCTCTTGCCTGATTTTCCTCGAATCGACCCAATCCACTGTCACATCAGATCGATCCTTCTTCTGGTCTCCAACCACTCCGACAAATGGGACGGCCACATGGGTTGCTGCATTGTCGTTGCCAGCCGGGCAGATTGCGTTAATCAGTTGTGAACACGCAGCGAGCTTTGTCGCCTGCAGGTCTGGACGCGACTTTAGCCTCTGTGCGGCGGCGTTTAGCATGGACATGGTGGTCTCTGCTAGATAGTACACCTCGCCTAACTGCTGCAGAATTCGCCAACAAATGTAAAACTTTTGGAAACCCGTCTCTCGCACTGCGGCCTGCTCTGACATGCTATAGAGCAGATGCGTTGCAACTGCTGGCTCCAACACTGCTATCGCCGTATCTGGCAGCCATGAGATCAGATGGTAGGCATACAGATCGCTGAATATGCTTGTAATACTTTTTGCTGCTTGCGAAACCATCTTCATAGATAAATTTCGGAGCTTGGTCTCGTTTGCGTTTGATGACGGCAAATTGAGCAGAGGCCGGTACAAAGTCATCAATGTCATCGAGTAATAACCTGCCAAGAGAGCCCTGTGTACCCTCACAATTTCATTCTCGTGCCGATGTTCGATGTCATGATGTTGAAGCTCGAGCTGCTGCACTTCTGTTGGTAAGTAACCGTACCAATTTTGCAGCTCTTGACCGCACATCGTGATCTCCGAAAACCTGGAACCTTTGATTTTTGGGACTAGCGATACAACTATTGGACTCTGTCCCGCATCACGAGGTGTTCTTTGGACGGTGTATTGCACAGTCAAGACTTTGTCAATATACTCGGAAAGCTGGGCCAGCGCCATGCAAGAACAGGCGAGTGTTTCCAACTCTGCCAACCCGATGTCATACATCTGCAGGCTGTTTTGAAGGGTCTTCAAAAGAGGTTCCAACCTAAAGTCGTCAAGATGCAACATAGGGACATCGAACCGAAAGACTTTATTTTGCACTGGCCTCCGCAAGGCCACGGCAAGCAAGCGGTCTCTCATGACAAGCGTCCACCATGTCATCTTGAATGTCCGCCGCTGTTTCCGATCTGAGAGGCTGCTGGTGGGATCAAAGTTTAGTCCAATACTGGTCGCATGCAGTGTTGCGATTCCGACCCAATAATAGCTGTCCCTGACGCCTTCGGGGTCCCCGTCCCATAAACTTAACAGGATGGCGGCCTGACAGATCGCGAGTCTGTCCGTTTCCACGTCAAAATCGTGGAGAAGCCTTGCACGTTCGTAGAACACGCATCTTGTCTTTTTATGCCTTCCACGGTGGTTGTCCGCGTTGATGTACGCTGTTGCAGCAAACATCATTGCTTGAAAAAGGAGGAGGCTTGTTGTTCCGGTGTTGCCGTTGCTCGACACTGCTGACAGAATTTCCTCGAGGTCTAGCATCGGTGCAAAGGGATATACCCATTTTGCATAAGTTGTCAACAGCAAATCACGCGTTGCTGAGTCTGGAATGTCGAAAGCACCCTTTCTTTGGAGGTGGAGAAGGTCTTCTGTTGATAGGGTCTTCGGTAGAGGCGTGATATATTTTGGGAGCGATGACTGGAGGCGATGATCACCTAAAACGGTTTGAGTAGGTGATGGATAAGATGCAAGGAAATCTGGCTGAAAATCTTGTCCGCCACCCATTGCAATGTCCTCTTCGAGAGGGTTGGAAGTGTCAACTGTCTCAGATGTGGCGAAGAAGTTGCTCGAGAGATCGAAGATATCAAATGAACCATCTCCACTACTGCACTTAGCAGCAGCAGCAGACTCCTTCCTCTCTGACAAGAGACTGTCTATATCTCCAAAATCAATGATTGCATCGCAAATTGGGCTTCGGGGGCCATGCTGCTTGCCCTCGAAGAAGGATGGTCCAAGGACCCGGTCTCCGATGTGTCGTCTCTTGCTCGCGGGTACTACACAATTCTTGCCGTCAAGCCTGCAGTTTGTACATGGAGTTTTAGTCCTGGTAACATCACAGCGGACTTTTCTCGAGCGGCATGATTCACAAGCCCGGGGAGCTCTCTTGCTGAGCCCACCTACTCTCACAACCACTTCCGGGTCGCGGGCTCCCATGCCGGAAGGCGGCCGATGACAGAGGCCAGTGGGCGCTGAGAGAGGGCCTTTAATCCGGGCAAGGTTCTCGGGTAGAGCTCTAAGCAAAAGCACGTATTCGAGCGCCGGACAGAGAGCAAGGATTAAAGTTCCAAGGACAAAGGGAATTTGGACTTACCTGCTGAGAATACTTACTGGGCTTCCTTCGAGCTCATTTATGAGGGATAACACATCATGCGAGTCAGACCCCTACGTATTCGCATGAGATTGGGATGCAGGCTGCATCCGGTGGAAGAGGTTCCGGTCACGAGGAAAGCTCCGAGTTTTGTAAAGACACCTTGGTCTGAGATCTCGTTGGCCTCTACGATCAAACGCCTTGAGGCTATGAGTCTGACAATTGCACTGTCTGTGTCAATAGGAGACCATGAGCATCTGCCACGGACCTCCACGAGATGTCAATAATATGTTGGATAGAGGGAAATATCAGTGTACTCGGCAGAGAGACTTGGCATCCTTTGATCTTCTGAGGCTTTTGGTTTCTTCCGGTTGTCTGACTGCCTGATCCGGTCTTGCATCCGACGACAGCTTGGTCCTGGTCAGTATTATTTCTGATGGTCGAAATGAAGTTGAAGAGAACCATTCATCGAGGAATATGTCCACGCCCAGCTTCGTCATTGGCAGGCCAGATGATGTTAATTATTCGTGGGTACCATACCCGGTACTTGTATTCGCACCCGCGCAACCCTGTAGAGGCTGGGAGCCTAGAGACTCCCTCCACAGACAATATCCCTGCTTCCGGGGCCCCGGGTACTCCGCGTCTTCAAGCCCGCGTCTGAGGCGACTGCTTAGCCTCGCAAGGTAAGATGAGATGAGAATGCAGCCAGTCGGGCAAGGCACGGAAAACCCAAAGATCCTTCGGAACTTAACAAGGCCAACATGCGAGTAGGGTTGTTGATGCGAATGTGTGGCATTTGGAAAGGGAAGAGCGGTTATGATTTTGGGCCCTGTCATGCATCGACGACTGCCTAATACATGGGTGATTCTGCTGTTGAGAGAAGAGCTGCAGCCTCAAGCTATCCTCAAACTATCAGGTTAGTCCTTGATGGGCAACACCCAACCATGGAAGGATTTTGCTGGTGCTGCCAGTTTGCATGCAGCTGGGGAGGATACTGAGTATGGAGTAGCATAAGTAATTACCTAGCGAACTAGGCCGCCGGAAGTAGGGAGGCGGAGTATTACGATGCTCCATTCCCTGTAAGTAAGCGACTGCCGAGGTTCCGGCGCCGCTGAAAGCCAGATCCGTGCTGTCCTTTATTTGCGTGCTTCCACGGACAGAGACCACATCTCCGAATTATCGTTTCTGCGAATCGCAATCGGAGCTTCATAGCGGTGCTGGGCAAGCAGTCTCATCCCCAGATATTCTAGTTCGTGCGCAGGTTCCCTGATGACTCCTGCACCAGTCGCCTCATCCAAGAAACGTCCCTTGCCGCGAGCCCGACACGCATGCCTCAGATGTCGGAAGCAGAAGTTGAGATGCGATGATACTAGACCGTGCGCCTTGTGCTTGCGCGTTGGAGTCGAATGCAGAGAGCGTCCCGAAAATAGGGGATTGGTGAAGCCGTCTGCAGGACTCGCAGGGAGCACTGACACTTCCACCATCGGCCAGTTTGATGATGAGCAGCAACCCGCTCCGTCACCTCGAACTTCCATCCCTCTTGGCCGTCAGTCCAGCCCTGTCCAGGTCTTGTCGCATAAAACTCAATCTTCCTCATCGGTACGGAGTCCACAAGAGCCTGGAAGGCGGTTATCTGAGGTATATCGAGAAAGAACGTCAACATACGAAGTAGTGGACCAGCTCTTCAGAGAACACAACTCGGCAGCGAGGCTATTCCATTCCACGGATGCGATTCCTGGTAGTAGCCCGGACGTGAGGTCTTCCGAAGCCAGCGGCCACTATCTCCCCATAAGTGATGTGCTTGGGATGGAATTGCCGCCCTCTCATGTAATTGACTACGCTCTGGAAAGTTATTCTGATTCTGTGCACTGGTTCATGTTATTGTTTCATGGACCATCCTTGAGAGCTGAGCTCCAGGGTCTTACCGCGACAGGTTTTGTGCGTGCGGATCGAATGTCCTTTTCGGTTCTCGTTTTGTTGGTTATTGGCATCGGCGCAAAGTACGCCACAAAATCTGAAGCTGAAGAAATATGTCCGGGTGTTGACATGGACAGCCTGGGGAACACACTCATCCACAAAGTTGAAGAGCGACTTCTTGGTGTCTTCGATCAAGCTAATATTGAGGCCGTTCAAATCTCAATCCTCCTTTCCTCATACTACGCCTACCATAGCCGGCCAAACCGCAGCTTTGCCTTGATGGGGAGCGCACTTAAAGTCGCGCAAGCTCTCGGCCTGCAAAAGGAGTCAAACTGGAAGATGGAAGACCCCATTCTGCGAGAGGTATGGCGGCGATTATGCTGGGCCCTCTACACAGCGGAAGTGTGAGTCATGCAATGTGTCTAAGCGATTCGTCACTGATTGTTTGGGGTGTAGATTTAGTGCTATCAGCTTTGGGACTCCCTGTAATGTACATGACAGCGATTGGGACGTATCTTTCCCTGGCAACATCGACGACACCTCATTGACCTGCCCAGGATTCGAATCTGTGGAGAGCTATGAGGATGAAACATTCGGCCCAGTTACTATAGCATCATATCAGAGATACAAGTTTCGCCTCTATCGAATTGCATCAACAATCACTCGAAATATCTATCTCCGGAGTGGGGCAACCCTTCCTGAAGTGGTCAGAGAGATCAAGGCAATCAATCATCGCCTGCTTCAGTGGGAAAAATGCATACCGCGGGAATTGCGACTCAAGTATTTGAAATACAATAGCGGAGATAGGACAATTAGAAGGACCATCAGAACCTTCCAGCTTCAAGCCCTTACCCTCCAACTCTCCTATGACAACATTCAATTGGTTCTGCACCGGCCACTGTTGACAATAAACCGCGTGCCTCGATGGCCTGACGTGGGACCAGAAGCAGGCAATGATTCCGACCAGATAATGCTTAACGTCCCCAACGATGCAGTCGACAGCATGATCAGGACAAGCAAGTACCAGTGCTGGGTTTCCTCAATGAGAACGTCCAAAATCGGTGAACATGCTGAAATCCTTGCTGCTTCTCAGAACACCCATGGAGCGGCTTATGCTGGAATCCAGTCCTTCACTGCTGGTGTTGTCCTCGGCATCTTTGCACTATCGGATCCTCTTTCAGATCAGGCTCACCAAGCGAAGCGTGCTGTGAGTAGAATTATTAAGCTGCCCCGACTTCACAGGTTCCGTACTACGGTATCCGACCAATGCGGTGCAATTCTGGAAGAGCTTGTTCGGTTGGTTCTTGCGGAGGAGATGAAAGCATTATTAACGGAGGCAGAGTCCTCTCGTCAAGAGCATGTACAGCACAGGCTCGCGGATGAACGCACTACCGTCGACCATCATTCCCCTGCTTCGGTGTGTGGTGAACAGCAACATGTAGTAGACGGGAACGATGTGTCAGAACAGGCCGCCAAGCTCTCCGACAGGAGTGGCACGGACGCATTCGAGCTGTTTTCCCAACATAGCTTCGACCTACCTCGAGACATCGCTTCTGGCAATTTCAGTGACGCCCTCGTCTCTCTGCAAGATGGTTTGATACCCCAGATCTTCGTATTTCTTCTTCTAACGAGCTGCAGTGTTTCGTGATGGGCGTAGTGGTCTCAACAGTCGCCTTGGAAATGGCACCCGACATCAAGAACAAATCAGTTTGTCATCGACACCGGGGACTTGCCTATATCCGCAACTTTCCTCAGGCACTGCTGCGATGTCAAACAGTAGGGTATCCAACACCTTTGATGGCACTTCTCAAGTTTGGATCTGGGATGATATGCTTTGGCTCCCTGACGGCACCTAAGGTATTGGTCGCATAAACATGCCAGCTTCATCTGCCTCCGGAGATTAGCTGAGTACTTGCAAATTTGTGAATGTCTCATTCCCTTTTTGCTAATGCGATATCTGCTATGTTCCATCGATCGCCGAGAACCATCTTGGCCAAGGAAGAGGACAGCATTAGAGTACGCAAAGCTCCGAATGGTCAAGACATAATCTAGTGACTGAAGCGCTCCAATTTTGAAATGAATCTGACGGCGCCTGTTGAGATATTAGATACCACATGGGATGAGTACAGGGTAGTGGCACTAACGCCCTATCAAGCGGAGTGATTGGGTGATGAGTGACTTATGTAGCCCTGTTTGCTCGCGAGCCACCTGGTAAGTGCTATACAGAGTATAGTACTAGGTAGGTATGTCCAGAGGACGCAGTACCTGATCAAGTCTTGGCGACAACAAAGCGGACACTTGTCTCCGCTGTCGACTCTCGATGGTTAGTTTCAACCTTCAACTCCACTCTTGAAACGGGACGACAGCAACCTTGGAACCCGCAGGTGCACGGAATGACATCTTACACAATCCTGCACAATCCATGGCTTCTAGATCTCAGTTGGCGCAGATGGCATTGCACGGCCTATTTTGAAGGACACTCCTGTGGTCGGTAAAACGTTCTGCCAGAGAAGTGATTTTGGTTCACTCCGGGAGTTGCCCAACGCTATCAAACCCCATCCAGCACAGCTGCCAAGCTATTGTTGAACTGATCATTCCACCGAAATATTTCCCCCGGTGCTAAGGATTTGGTCATTACCGGCGCTGAGGGCTCCGTACATATTGGAACTTTGCCTTTCCTCCACATTTTGCAAACGGCGGATGCTAGCAACAATCTCGGTTAAGAATCCTCGGTCTTTCCCCGAATCGGGTCGTATTCCGCGTCATGAATCTCCTTCAAGAACTTGTCTGCCCCAGCTTTGTCGTCGGCGAAAATGTGATCTGCCACCAGCTTCTTGGGCGTCTCGCCCAACCATTGGAAGAGCGAGAAGTCCTGGAATTTGTCGGCTCGGAAGATTTCTAGGACCTCAACGGGCTCGTCTTCACTCAG